CCTTGTAACTCGCGGCCACGTTATCAGGCTGCGAGTTACAAGGAGACCAAGAGCAAGACGTCCGGCAGGAAGAAAGACGTAAAGGTCAAGGTGGGCGAGCAAATGTCAGATACTGAGCTGGTGGATCCTTTGCCGGAGAAGTTACGCTCGACAGTGAACGCCAGACTGAAGAACGATCTAATCGTGTGCGCGGTGATCGGCACCCTGTCTTTTGGAATTCATCGTACGACGGTGTTCACCGCTCTGCAACCGGAGCTCAATCCGGTACTGTGGAGTAAACTCTTATGTTTCATCGTTTTCCTAGAAATGAAGGACAGAAAGCTAGATGGATTAACAGTATCAGGAATATTAATGGATCTACTTGGGAGCCTAAGGATCCATTGTTTGTGTGCTCTGTAAGCTGCAGTGTAGCAAATATATACATATACATATATAGCGAAGTCATTTACTGATAGCATACATATTTTTTCAGGAGCATTTTGACAGGTTTTCTTGGGAGCGTGTTAGAGAAGATGGTAAGAGGAAACTGAAAATCGGAGCAATTCCTTCAGTTTTTAACGATAGTCTCCCATCGAAGCTATTTAATGAACATACATATTCAATGCCATTACCTGTTAGCGCAAACTTAAAGGGTCAAATATCAGGGAAAGTTAAAATATTACTTTGCAAGAAAGCAAATCCAAAACCTTTGGTTGCAACGATCGTAATATTGCCAGCTGCGGAGGAAAATTTTGAAATCTGAAAAGCACAATTATTCGAATTGTAATTGACAGTTGAACCAAGTACAAATATAAAATAAATCATATTTTATTTAATTTAAAATAAATTTTCTCTTATAGATGTCAAATAAATCGAATATTATTGTCTTGTAGATATATGTATCTATAAAAAACGTAGTAAAGTTATATATAAATTTTTTTACACTATTCCTCAAAGAACTATTAATAATTTACAATAAAATACACAGTACGTTTTCATTTACTTTATTATATGTATCTGCAAGTATAATCTTATGAATTAATATATCTTTCGTTTTTCTTGATTGTACATGTTACATTGATTAAGGCAACAAGAAGCTATATTCATATGCAATCAGGTGTGTTGTGTATTAATATAATGTTTTACAAGCATTCTGACTCTTTAACAACTTTCCTTGTATATTGTCGACATGTTTCAAAGTAAATAACTTTCATATCTATATACATAGAAGATAAAATTGCGTAACTAAAATTAAAAATAACGCTCTTTTTGATATATGATACAACTTTTCAAAAGATAAAAAGATATAAATACATGTTTTTACAATTTCAGCCCAATGTGATTTCTGCCCAGTGCTCTGAATGTCAACGTGAAGAAATTCAAGCAAGCGCGGGTAAACGGCGGGAGTAACTATGACTCTCTTAAGGGAGTCATGCTCTCTCAGGCCCTTGATTCTCATAGGAGTCTCTTTGGACCTGGGGTCAGAGAAGGTTACTTGGGCTGGTGATGCGAATACATAGCCTCTCCCGGTCAAGTCATACCAACCCACCTCCACGTGGTCTCGCTGGAACGCTGTGTTAGGTGCTGCTTCGGTTCGGTGCGGCTTGGTCTTATAGAGCTAGGATGATCACACCTGCTCTGGGTCCGACGCCGTCCGACCGGTGCGCGCTGCAGTAACCAAGTCGGTGGTATGGCGACCTAGGTGCGCCCCGAAGGGCCTGTAGCGATATGGGCCCAAGTACCGATGTCCATGGTAAGTTGTGGGGCCAAGAAAGGGCACGGTTATTTGGGGAGCTCTCGGCTGTCAATCCGTTTGCTCCCCTACACGCAGTAAATTTATGGAAAGTCCACGTATGAATGTAAAACCCCCGGGTTCTCGGATGGCCCGGGTACTGCGTGCAAGATGCGCAAGCGATAGTGTCGTTGGTGCGGAGGTACCTGACGGGGTCGTAGCTGGATCGTCGGGTACTAGAAGCAGAGCCATGTCCGATGTCATAGAAGGGACGGAAGCATTTAGCTGTGAGTTTTGCCCAAGGGAGTTCCGGACCATGCGTGGTCTAAGTCTGCATGTTACTAAGACTCACCCAGTGGTGGCCAATAGCGCGGTGGATGTTGAGCGCGTGAAAGCACGTTGGTCGGTGGAGGAGGTCAGACTCATGGCTCGCGCTGAGGCTACAGCCACCTTAGCGGGAATTATCTTCATGAATCCTCATCTGCAGGATAAGTTCCCTCATAGGAGTCTCGAAGCTATCAAGGGTAAGCGTCGACAAGAGGCTTACCGCGAGATGGTTAGAGTCTTCTGCCAAGAGATGCAATCGCGAAACGCGGTTGGCATTGATGAGGGCGATAGGGACGGCGCAGCGATGATAAGAGCTGCTGCCGGCCCTGCGACCATAGGGTCTGACATAGTTGATCCAAGCGCACATCAGCCTTCCCCTGAGCAAAGATCTCAGAGGCTGCGGGACATCATCAACCAGCTCATAGAGCAGAGCTCAGCGTCCCGTAGCTATCAGGCTGATACTCTTGTGGGCATCGCGAGAGATGCTCTACTGACGGGGGTGGTCGACGTTCAGGCCATCGAGAGATGGCTGGCCCTGATCTTCCCGCCGTCAGCTGTGCGCCCTCCACGGCGCGCCTCGACGAAGCAGCGCAATCCTCCTAACACAAAAGAGAGTAGGAAGCAGAAAAGAAAGAGAGAATATGCACATGTGCAGATTCTCTACAAGAAGAGCCCAAAGGCCTGCCTTTCGCACGTCCTCGAAGGCGGCTCGGAACGTGAGCGACCGTCCGCTGTCGAATTCGACGCGTACTGGCGTCCCGTAATGGAGGCGTCTAGTGGCGCGGATGGAGACATGACGGCCTTGCGCGAGTCGTACGGGGAGGCGGGGCGGGTAGCGCGTACTAGCCGGAGCCGTCCACCGACAGCCAGAGGGATTCATCTCGAAGGTTTAGGTGAGGGCGCCGCCACTGGCCCGACTCGGGCGGCGGATAAGGCCTCGCTCTGGGATCCTATAAAACCTATCGAGGTTCGAAGGATTTCGATCAAGACTGGTACAGCGCCCGGATTGGACCAGATTACGCCGAGGATGTGGAACGCTGTTCCCCTTGTTCTTCGTGCGCTTCTGTTCAATCTGCTGCTCCTGGCAAGAACGGTACCCTCGTCGATCGCCACAACAAGAACTGTATTTCTGGAGAAGGGAGGGATGTCCAACCGGCCTTCACCGGCGGAATACCGACCTCTCAGTATAGGATCAGTTGTGATTAGACACTTCCACAAGATCCTTGCCAAACGTTTAGCGGCCCTGAACGTGTTCGACACTCACCAAAGGGGTTTTCGGCCGGTGGATGGGGTGTGTGAGAACGTCACAGTCCTGTCCGCCGTGCTCGGTGATGCCCGGAGGCGTTGTCGGACACTACATCTGGCGTGCGTTGACCTGTCGAAGGCATTTGACACGGTCTCGCACCCAGCCATACATAGGACTCTTGAAGAGCTGGAGCTCCCTTGGGAGTTTAGGGAGTATATCGGGGCCGTTTATTCGGATGCGCAAACGGTGATAGGATCCGTCACCAATAATGTATCGGCCATTAAGATCGGCCGTGGCGTGAGACAGGGTGATCCGTTATCGCCGCTACTGTTCAATCTGGTCGTGGATAGAGCACTAGCAATTCTCTCGGAGGATGTTGGCTATCAGTTGGGGGACGAGCTGATCGGCGCCTTGGGCTACGCAGACGACATTGTGCTCCTTGCCTCTACCAGGTCCGGTCTGCAGGAGAATTTGACACGGCTTCAGGCTGTTTTTGCGCGCAATGGACTTACAATTAACGCAAAGAAAACAGGTGTGCTGTCCATGGTGGCGTCCGGTAAAGACAAAAAGGTGAAGATTGACACAACACCGTACTTCACCGTGGGGGGAGCGCTGATTCCGCAAAGATCCCCTGTCGAGATCTGGACGTACCTGGGCTGCATGTTTGTAGGTGCTAGGGAATTCGCTAATGATCCGCCCCTAGCTCACTCCATCGAGCTACTCACTAAGGCGCCTTTGAAGCCGCAACAACGGCTGAGGCTCTTACGTGACTTTCTCCTGCCACGGTATTATCACCGTTGGATAGTGGGAACCGTCACGGCCAAAACGTTGAGGGGCGTTGACATTATGGTACGCAAGGCCATTAGACGATGGTTGCGATTTCCCCATGATGTTCCTGCTGGATATTTTCATGCGCCGATACAGAGTGGCGGGCTTGGTTTGCCTCTACTTAAGACTTTAATCCCTATTCTGAAGTTCGACCGATTGCAGCGGTTGTGTCGCAGCACTCTGCCCGCGGCGCGCGCCGCCGCCGAAACCACATTTGTGGCTAGGCGGCTGGTTTGGTGTGAGAACCAGATGCGCATCCGGGGTAACAGGGTGCTTACGACCGCTGAGCTTGGACAACAGTGTGCAGCCTGGTTGCGCGAGTCGTGCGATGGGAACGGGCTCAGGGAGGCGGAAACGTCGAAGCTGAGTTCGCATTGGGTGTCGGCGGGAGCCGACCTCATCCCCGGAGCCGACTACGTGCACTATCATCACATACGGGCCAACTGTATTCCGTCTAGAGCAAGAGTCTCCCGAGGTCGTGATGGGCGCGAGGTTCGCTGTCGTGCTGGTTGTCCCGATATCGAGACACCGGCGCACTGCGTTCAGCGTTGCTTCAGAACGCACGGAGGGAGAATCCTACGGCATAACGACCTTTGTCGTCGAGTCGGTGGCTTCTTTCAGCAGAAGAGATGGCATGTCGATGCGGAATTAGCCTACTCGACCTCTGCCGGCCTGAGGCGGCCCGACCTGACCATTGCTAAGGGTGATGAGGCAGTGGTCGTAGACGCGCAGGTAGTTTCCAGCGAAACTGCGTTAGAGGTGTCACATGAGCGCAAGGTGGAGAAGTACCGATCCTGTAATGATCTAGTGGACCGGGTGGCGGAGCGCACAGGAGTGCCGCGTGATAATGTCCGTTTCACCGCCATTACGATCTCATGGCGAGGTGTCTGGAGCCCTAGGAGCGAGGGTGAGCTGCGTAGTTTGGGCCTAACGCCTGCCCAGCTGCGTACGCTCACGACTCGCGTCCTCTGGGGCTCATGGCTAAATTGGAAGAGGTTTAACGGTATAACAACCCGTTATGTGCCGGGGCGGAACGTAACCGCAATTAGTGGTGCACGTCGGGGTGGCACGTAGAGTTGGGTGCCTCCGCATCAGCGGACAAGCGAGAATGTGAGTGTGCATGAGTAGTAGAGTGAGAGCTGCTGGACAGCTCCTTTCAAGCACTTCCAGGGTGTTAGCTGCGAACACCGACAGCAAACCGCCTTGCAATATCGTTATAGGTTCAGGATGATTGCGCATGATTGCGGTCGTTCTGCCTTAAACGAAACAATAGCCAAATGCCTCGTCATCTAATTAGTGACGCGCATGAATGGATTAACGAGATTCCCACTGTCCCGATTAATTTGTATAAATAATTCGTTTTTATTATTATTAAATTTGCTACGCTTACAAAATTTTTAGTAATTAATAATCAAATAGACTGAGAATAACAGAGATGTAATTTTTCTATATATGTTCATTTAGTTGCAACTTTCCCCATAGCCATTTTCATTCCTATAAAAATAAATCTTATATTTTGTAAAATTATGGATACACAAAAGAATT